TAGCAGGACTTGAGAAGTCATGAGTACAACCCAGGCTTCTCAGGACCAACACCACGCAATCAGAGGAGGAGGATCCTGATGCATGGTAGATGGAGATGAGAGTGATGACGACAACAGAAGAGGTAGGGCACACCCAAGATGAACAACACTTATCCATAGAATAAGAAATAACGAGAGATCAGAAAGCTGCCTCTTCATGACCTGATAAACAGGTAAGGAAATCATCTAGCTAAGCGCAGACTATGAGAGCTCCATCAAGGTGTATCACTTGTTACCAATGAACAAAAAGTATATATCACTGTAACTCATTGTTAGCCAATGCAAGCCATATAGACAGTGAATATGGTTTCAGAGGGGATTATTGGTGTTCTGTGATTAATCAGAAGTATAGTGATGGTGATGCAATTTAGTGAATGGTGGATTCATCGAGGAACAGACCTTCTGTTTTAGAACCCAGCCTCCCATCTCTTCAAGAGTTTACCTGTATTCTTCACTTAAGTGTTCCACACAACTTTAGTTTTCCTAATTAACTTTATTTTTTCCATGTTAACTTTATTTTTCCTGACCCAACCTCTATCTTGGTCGCTTGCCAATGTATCGGTAAAGTTAGATAAATTTCACAAACAAAGGTGTTTGCCAAAAAAGTGAGTTTGGGGTCGCCTCCGACTCTATTTCCAAATTTAACCTATATGTTATGTTATGTTATTCATTTGATGGCCATTCACTTTTTATGGACTCATGTGTCACATTAACTCAGAAGTGAGGTTGATCTGTATTAAAATTACACTTTAAGGCTTAATTGTGAAGTTGCAAGAGACTGTACATATAGTGAGTCACATTCAATTTGGTGTTTACTTGTTATCCAGCTAATGAGAAAATATAGTGGAACACTACTTTTCAAATTATGCAGCAGCAGATTACAGGTACAACAATCTCATGCAAAAAAGATTAGAAAGAGATGGTCATTGTATGCTCATTCTAGGCTATAAAGGTCAAAGAAGCTAAAATGAAAGCTATCTAGAATTGCAAGAGCCTTTAAATGGGTGAGTATTATCATAATGGCCTGCATGTATTGCTTGAATAGGCATCTGCAAACTGTAAGGAGTTGGTGAACATAGAAGTTGACTAGAGGAGAGTTCTGTGGCTGTATAGGCTTTTTGGGTAATGAAATCATTCACAGTGTTGGCTGTTGATTGGGGCTCCTGGAAGATCCCTTTGACAAAGCACAGCAGGCATTCACCCTCCTATCAGGTGCCAGATTGGTCTCTAGCTATAATTCTTTCCAAAGTACAGAACACATACATTACCATTTTATGGCTTATCAATGGAGTGTGGCAGGCTTGCAACAAATAGCCAATTGGCACTTATAAGGTATTTTGAAGGTCTATGGAGGTTGGTCAATCAAGAATAGAAGTTACAGCTGGCTCTTAGGGTTGGCTAAAGCATTTTATATTCCAGACTGTATGTCATATTCATACAGTATTATTTTATCTTTTCTTTTCTATAAATGGTACTTATTCTAGAAACTCTGTCATATTTTTTACATGTTTAGCTGGATGGTTTCTGCTGTCATAAATCTCACCGCACCAAATAATAATTATTTTAACTGTCTTTATATTAAATTCTTCTAGCTGCTGTCATAATACTGCTGCAGTATTTATGTAGCAGCATTGTAACGTATAATTTTGTGTATTTTAAGGGAGGCCGATTGCAGTTGATTTTGCTGTTGCCAAAGAAAAATTTTCACCAAAATGAAGTTAAGAAGGAAACTATCCAAGATGAAGATAAAGTGAAGGTAGAAGTATTAAGTGATGATGAAGGAGAGGAGAAGGTTGAAATAATATGAAGAAGAGAAAGCCAGCAGACAGTAAGAAAGTGATAGTGAGGATGATAAAGAAAGATAGAGAATGGAGTGTTGATGGGTAAGAGCTCAATTCAGTGAAGATGTTCCTCCTGCCAACAAAAAGGTCTAGAAGATATTGTTGAACAACGGACATTGTTCATAAAATCTCCCAATCATCACAGTAAGAGATTGCTGAAGTTCTGAAAAAGTGGATGAGAAGTAAAAATAATGCCTTTCCCTGTACATCAACTTACTTTGAACACCTAACGCGGAATACATTTGCTCAGTCTGGTTATGAAACTCCTGTGCTGATTTTTTATAACTAGAAATAGGATCAAACGGCCATCATTCTATGTCTCCTGAAAAGAGATTTAATGTCGTCTTCATCCAAGAAGAATTGGTAATAGAATACTACTAAAAATTCTGGTCAAAGTTCATAATTGACGACTTCCAGATTCAGAAGACAGTCCAATCAAGGAAAGACACAGTCTCATCTGAGGATTCTTTCCAATGCTTTGAGAGAGGCAGAACTCAAATTGAAATAGTGGTACCAGGAAAGTGTAATATAACATTAAACCAACAAAGCCTAAACCAATAATTAAGAACGGAATTCAGAACAACCATCAATTTGCTTTATCTGTACTAAGGAAAACAAAATGGTCTTGAGTTGCCAGGCTGTCTCCAGCAGTGTTCTGGAATCTTAAACTAGACTGTATTAATATATATCAGAAATAAAGGCAGAACAGATTAAGCAGCCAACCAACAACACAAATTAGCTTTTCAGTATGCACATTCTCAAAAACATTTATATTATATTTATTATCCATAAATTTTATTGTGGATATTATAATGCAGCAGATGATATGTAGTTATAATCTTCTTTCAATGATAAGTACGACATTGTACTGGTTACAGTTTTACTTGAAGCGATGAATTATTCTTTTCCAGGAAACGTGAAGCAGCTGATGCTTGTTTCATAGCAGAGGCAAACCCTAGTACAAAGAATGAGCGACCTTCCAAGGGTCGCCAATGACATCATGAGCAGCCAGCAGAACGGAGCTGACCGTTAAAATGAGAAGGCAAGAGAAAAGGCAAAAAAGATAACAGAATCTTTTGGTTGCCCAAGATGTAAGAACCTTTTACTTCAAATACCACGTATTGAGAGGAGAGTACATAATCTTGTGAGAGGATTTATTAAAAATATTATTCAATGGTTTGTTTGTAGTATTCAACCATCATTTTTTATCTAGAACCCATTTGGCAGAAGGTGGAATTGTATCAGAAGGTTATTGTGGGAAGAAAGGCAGAGCAGAGCCAAGATGATTTTCGCAACCCTCATATGGTAATACCTGTATAGCAGAGTAGTCCCTCAAGAATTTGGGAACGTGTTCAGATGAATCAATTTCGTTAATGTAATTGAAATTCTACAAGGATCTCTTTCATCTTGGCTGGGGAAGGAAAAATTATTAATCTAAACCTTGCATAAACACGCTTTTGTTGTGAGCATCTGATAAGCTGATCAAGAATCCTCACACACAGTAAATCTGTTCTAAGCCAGAGTATTGTTTCCAAAAAAGAGTGCATCAAGAAGGTCAGTTCTTTAATATTTACTTCTATATAGTATTAAAATTATTGGTCATTCTGAACAATTAGCCATTCAAGCTCTATATGGTGTTTTTCATCTATTATTTTAGCTTGATATATAACTTATTCCATTTATTGAACGTATTTACATGCACACATCAAATTGGAGTGGCAAAGCTATACCGTACATGAATCATTAATGTGCCGCAAAACATTATTGTAATATTTGTTTGTGCAACCATGGGAATGTTTACATTCAACTAATCACTATCTTATAATAATTTCACAATGTAAATTTGTATTTTCCTCGTCATTTCATGGAATTTTTATACAAACAACAAAACTCAATCTAAAGGACATAAATAAACAAATAAATACTTCACCAGACTGTGCTAACTTCAACAAACAATATGTCACTGTTGCGTGGTAATGTTCCGCTTAATTTCATGACTGCACCAGTGGCCACTTTTCTCGTTAGCGGATTAGCGTTTTCGCTAACTTTGGAAGCCATTAGTGGACCAATTAGCTTCCGCTAAATTTAGTTCTGCTAACTTTAAGTCTGCTAACAAAATTTATACATGTTTGTTCCTGTCTGTTGTAAGTGTGTGACGCCGCGACGTGTGTCTCCAACAGCCAGTCAGACACGCTTGGCTGACTGCGTGTTAGTAGTGCAAAGATATCTTGAGGGCCAAGAGAGCCACCCTGTCAGATGGCAACTTTGAGAGGCTAATGTTTATGAAGGGCAACCAGCATCACGTCGAGGCGATGGAGAAGGCCCAGCCACTGCAGCCGGAGTGAATGGAATTTTTCGATTATTAAAGTTTAATACTTTTTTTTTACAGTAAATAAAGACTGTCAGTGTATGTTGAAAGAATCATAGAATGTAATTGTAAACTAATGTATAATTTCATTTCTCATTTATTTGTTAATTTAATTAGGATTTTTTGTGTCAATATATTTGGTTATGCTAAGTACTGCATAAGTTCATAACCAGGATATCATCCAAGGTGTGCGCCAAACAAAATTTTCTAAAAACTTACTTTTCATTAAAGTTTAGAGTTTTCTGTTTATTTACATGACTAAGACCAACAATAAGTTATATAAAAATGCACTGGTATAATGTGTATGTGGTTGGTATTGCATATTTACATGAATAATGAATAAGGCCAATAGGTTGTATGAGAATGCAAATTAATTATTTGTGAAATTGTGTACAGTGTACACCTTGATAAGTTGATCATCATCTGATCTTGGCATGATGTTATTTGCTACCTATGCTATACAGTACTATAGTTTTTGGATTCGTTTAATACTTTCTGTCTTTTCGTACAGTAAATAAAGATTGTAAAGTTTATGTTGAAACTTGAATGTAAACTAATGTTTAATTTAATTTGTTCATTTAATTATTTGTGTACACCAGTGGCGTGTCGTGAGAAAAATGCTAGGGTAAGCAAATGACGCTGGTAAGATCTCTGATGAAGCTGGAGTAAGAATATTAATATCATTTTATTATTCATTTAACATAATTATAAAATAGGAAGTAATTAACAAAATATTATTTTAACTTACCATTTTAAACATAGTTCAATGGAATTCTTCTTGGCTTACGAGCAAAATGATCAGTAACTTTGGTGTAAAATTCTGGCTTGCTCTGAAGATTATGCAATACTTCTTTTTCAATTGATAGAAGGGCTAAACTTTGCAATCTTTCTTGACCTTGAGAATTTCTTGAGTACGTTTTAATTCGCTTCAAAGCAGAGAAGCTGCGCTCTACAGATGCAGTCGTTGCTGGAACTGTTAAAATTAATTCACAAAGTCTTGCTACTTCATTGTAAGCCTTTTCCAAGTCATTCAGCTTTATAAAACTTAAAATTTCTGTTATAGTATTATCTTTGAATTCCTCTGACATGTAAACAACTCTAAGTTGCGATTTCAGTGATAAAAAATCAAAGAAATTATCATAGCTACACTTCAGCGATTGAAAAGCAAGCTCTGGAAATTGCCCAAACTTAGTAAACTCACAGAATGATGGAGAGTGTAAAAGCTCTAAGAATCTTAATGAATCCAAATTTGCAAATCTGATATTAACCTGGTTAAGTATCGTGTCATATATTTCTACATAAAGTCGTGAGAATGACGTCTTCACATCAACATTTCCTTTTTGTCTCTTAAATCTGGGTTCATTTTCATTTATGTGATCACAGTTCTTTGTTGTTTCCCAAATGTTCTCAAACTCTTCTCTCTTCTGTTCCAAAGCCAGGCGAAAATCATTCACTTTTTTGACACAATAACCAACATCATGAATTTTTGCTTGCAGTATATCAAATAGTGTATCTGACAATGGGAAAAATGATGCAAAAAGATTTAAGAGAAAGCAAAAATTAAAATCAGTCATCGATGATAAAAATCCCCCTGCACGGTTATATGACTCTTGATCCCACTCAGATTCGGGATCTCTCATTTTCTCGAATACAGCGATAAGGGATTCTTTACACTCAAACGCAGTTTCAACTAGTCTTGATGCATAATTCCGACGAGTGGCTGACACTTTCGGAAGTTTTCTCGTGGTCATTTCTTGATTAAGAGCGTGTGTTCTTTTGGTAGATTTACTGAAAAAGGCTGACAATCCATTCAAGGTCATGAAAAATACTTTGAATTTACTTATTTTTGCCATTGCTTGTGATAAAACTAAATTTAGTCTGTGGGCAAAACAGTGTATGAATAAAGCAGTTGGATATTTTCCCTTAACTCTTGACTGCAGGCCATTCAACTCCCCAGCCATGACAGCAGCACCATCATAGGTCTGAGCAACTATTTTGCTTTCACATTCATATTTTTGCATAAGATTTGTAACAAATTTGTAAAGTGCTTCTGCTGTTCTATCTTGAGAGACGTTTTCAAACCCTAAGAACCGTTCATATACCTTGTTATCCAATGAATACCGAAACACATATGACAACTGACATAAATTGGTAATGTCAGTGGCTTCATCAAGCATTACTGAAATGAATTTTGCATGTTGGATCTCTTTTTTAATTTCATCAAGCATAACATATGACAGATTCTATGAGGTCGTTTTGTATTAAATTGGACAGTCCACTGAAAGTTGTAGCATTGTCAAGGAATCCTCTTAACTGTCCATCATATTTGCTTAGCACGTCAATAAATTCGACATAGTTGCCTTTGTTTACTGAACTAGTGGCCTCATCATGACCTCTAAATGCTTGCTCTGTTTTTGCTAAGTAACATACTGTATCAATATAACGTTTCATGATTTCTCTGTTCCTTTTAACAAGCTGATTATGTTGATTGTCACGAACTCTCTTTTGATCACTCAACATATAGTCAATCCTTGCTTTACCAAAAGTTTTTTCAGATATTACAGCCTGCAAGTGACTTTCTGATAGGCTGTGCTTTTTTACTGCTTTATGTACATTTGACAAATCATTATATCCGTAAGTATTCCATACATTTTTATCATTTGAAAAAAGAAGACATGCGCCCAACAATAAACTCTTTGTGCACTAGAACATCCAGCAAGCCAGTCATTGATCATGTACATTTGATTGTTAAATTTTCGAACACAGTTTTTTACTTTTAAGCTAATGCTCAATTTAGGAATATGCCTGCCATTTTCCATGATAACTTTCTTACTTGTAAAGTCACGAGATCTAAAAGAATTCTTTAGTAGATCACATACAGTGCATGCACATGCTGAACTTTGCTCCTCCTGCGACTGCATTTTCAGTTTGGGGGTATATTAATCCAAATAAATGCGTCGCACTCACACATCATGACCTCTGAAAGTCAACTGAATTTCTTACGTTGAGTGTTGACATAGACCGTAGCCTCATACAGTGATACCATCTCTTTCAAAACAAAATCTATCAATTCGAAAAAAGTTTATAGCCATTATTAATTTATTATATTATTCCAAAATGACAATGACATTATTCAAGTACTATGATAATGAGTCCAATAGTCTACGAAACTGTGAAACATAAAAAAGGTCAGATAATTATTATTTACGGATACGAATTTATCATTGAAAAAAAAATTAATGAACTGGTAATGCTGCGGTGCTGCTGGCAGCGAGTATAGGGGGTGGGGGAGGGGGACCAGGGAGGACGCTGTGCTTACGTTGTCCAAATTTCTAGCACAATTAATTATACTGACTGATAATAACAAATATTATTGAGGGGACATTCCAGCATCAGAATGCTTTCCACAGCTTATTAAATTGATCTGAACCTTATTTACATGGGTTTGGAAAAAGGGGAGTAACATAAGTTAAATTATTTGTTCTCATCTTACGTCTGGCAATGGCATACCATTGACGCTGTGAGCGTGGGGGAACGAGGGTACTGCAAGACAGCCAATAATTTGAATAAAAATGCCATATTTTGCACAAGAGATAAGAATCAATCACCTGTATCACATTACAGTAGTGATTTAAGAGTAAGAGTGTATATGTACTTATATATACAGTATAGTGATTTAAGGGCGATTTAGGGGAATTTTAGGAGTGTTTCTGACTTCATGCGTTTTTGGCTTTACTTTGTATATACTTTTCTGTGAGCTGGAACCAATTACCCAATATCCCATTGAAATAATGGATTCGACTCTGTGGAACGAATTGTGTTCGTTAACCGAGGGACCACTGTATACTGTAAGGTAATTTAATAATGGTCCTTGAGTCAGCATGAAGGAATCTTAATCCCAATAGATAAACTGATCTCTCTTCCCTCCTCATAGCACTACCAGTCTCAGATGAGGGTGGCATAGTGTAACAGCTGCCTGGAATGCCCATTAGAGCTGTGATGGTATAATCAGCAGTCACCATGTCAAGGCATCTGCTCTGTCACATATTAATCTCAGTAAATCTGGGTCAATGATAGTATTTCAGTTGGGTTCCAGGCTGACAGTCAGAGAGAATAGCAGAATCAACCAACCAACCCTGCTATGGTTTTACTGTACTGTATTAGGCAAAAACTAAGTATCATCCAGCCTAAAAGAGAGCTCAGGTTCTCAACTGGGTCAGCCATATTAATATTGTTATTAATATCCGCTCTGTATCTGTGTTTTTCTGGCTAAATAAACTGTTTCAATTCAATACAAAAGCATGGAACACTTCAGTGAGTTGTGACAGTAAGTAAAACTAAAACTTGGTTGAGTAGCCAGTTTGAAGTGTTCTGGGAGATATCCATAATCTAAAGTAAATTGTGATAATTATTTGGTCAAAAAGTTGAAATTTTGGCAATTACTGTACTTGCCCCAATGACGATAGAAAAAATCGGCACCTGTGTTATTTTGCAGCAATTCTTGGTGTTTTGTGTTATTCTGTATGTACTAAAGGAGTTAAACATTAATTTCCAATTTTTAGTGAAAATTTTATTTCTGGCCAAAAGAACAGTTTGTGCCCCAAAAAATTATTTTGCTCATCGTCTCACTTTAGGTACAGTAGAACGTCGATATAACATGAGATACATTCCAAGAGAGGTCGCTTTAAACCGAATTCGCACTAAATCAAAGTGTTGTTTCAATGGAATAATTTAGTTTGGTACTTGAGAGAACCACAAAATACTAAAAAGACTGACAGTCTACCCAGATGCACCTCATCCCATCTCCTAGAATTAACAAAACATTGTTTTTTGTAGTATTATGCTAAAACAAACACTCATAAATCAACACAGCTAAAATTAAGGGATGCGAAATGGTCTGTTTACTAGCGATCAGTTGATGTGAGAGGGTGGTCGCGCTGGCGCCTCGCACCGCCTGCCTCTCGTGTGACTCACCAAGCACTATCACTTTCCTCTCAACTTAGTTTTTAATTACTTTATGCTATAAAAAATTAGATTTTCACTCAACTTTACTTAGGCAAGTCATCCTCTGAAGATGCAGAGCCCAACTCGACCAGCTCATCACTGTCCAAATTGGCGCCCCACACTTGAAGCACCATTTTCTCACTACAGTGCTTCCAGCACCTTGTTTTTCTGCTCTAGTGTAATTGCTTGCCTTGATTTCATGGTCTTTGGGGTAGTTAATGATGTAGTGGCTGGCCTCTTAGACATCGTGGCGATGGTTGATGCACGTGGTAGAAGGAGATAGTTTCACACAATATGTCCGTTCACTAGAGCGTCAGTGCGAGAACTGAGGATGTGGGAGGGTGGCGGGCAGTCTTGTAGCGTGCCCAGAGACGCATCTGGCGGGAAACATTAGGCGCAAAATTTAAAATAGTGTGTATTTCCATGTGATGCACCAGATTGACTCACATAAAATAGGAAAGATTCACTTTAAATTAATACATTGTCTTTAATTGTGGGTGTCGCCTTAAATCAATAATTTTAAATGGAATTGCTTTAAATCGACGTTCTGCTGTAGTCCTCAATGTGTTGATTTAGAGAGTTTTATTGGTTATACAGGAGTGTATTAAGAGAATATGGGTGAATATTTTCCCTAGTTTTATTCTTATCAATTTTGGAATTCAGGGTACTGTACAGTGATATCCCCATTAGCCGGAATAATTGGTTGCAGAGCACTTCCAGGGAAGTAAGATTTCCAGCTGACCAGACAACTTTCTCATACCCGGAAAAATTCCTTATCCCTGGATCTTTTCCGGTTTCTGGAAAAGTTTCCAAGTGTATAAACTAGACATCTTGCAAAAACAGACACTAGCTCACTTCCCCAAAACGTTTCTGGGTGCTGGGGATGTTTTCTTTGAGTCTAAACTACCGAAGTCCGTAATGCAGTTCTAATTAAGTTACTGTAGAAACTCCATTTCTTTACTGTAATATTCCAGAATAGTTTATCTTAAAGTTTGGTTTAATAAATATATTTAAAATTTAAAAGTCTATATGATATGGGTGTGAATGAAGCTGTGAGTTACAGCAAAGACTGGTATTTTCCACTCCATTGAGCTGTGGGGGATTAGTGGGTCTCATGTAACTGACCTGACCTGATGCAATGCCAGGTGGAGGTAGGGTGAGGGATTAGTGGTCTCATAGTACTGACCTGATGGAATGTTAGGTCACCCTTTCTTGGGTTGGGGATTAGTGGGTCTCATGACCTGAAGATGTCTTGAATAAACACGAAACCGAAAGTATTTTTAGGGAGATTGTGATGAGTATAAGTATAAATGAGCAAAATTGTATCTTTACAACATTACATAACATTTTAAAATATGGAGTGAGAAAGCAGAAAGGTGCAGGTAATTAGAGGGATTGAGTGGAAAAGTGTTGCCAGGCACTCCTTAACAACTGATAATTAACTCGCTACCATGCAGTCAAAAAATGGTCCTACAATGCTGTTCAAAGTTTTAGTGTTGTGTATTTATTTAGGAAACACCCCTGTAAATTTTCTTGGAGATCGGTGCATGTTTGAGCTAGCACCGTCGGCTTTACAAAATAACAAGGAATATTATTATCTAATGAACACATTTAGTGGAATTTCTTTTATTAGACTTATAAGATATACTAACACCAAGCAAATGATCAATCATATCAGTCTTAATACCCCTAAAACAATATTATAGATTAGTACAAAATACAATAATCCCAATAATTGCATTTCTTGGTTCAAGAACCATTTCTCTCAACTGGCGTACAATGAAAAAAAGAAATACTACTACCCCGCAATGCCTGGAGTGTTTGAGGAGCGCCAGCAGGAGATGGCTGACTTCTTCGGTGAATCTCTAGCCCAACCATTTACACGTGGCGACTACAAGGAGCTGGTAGAGCTTTGTCCGCTGCTTGTAGCTAAAGGATCCGAGCCAGTGAACTTCACGATGGTCTACCCCGGCGCACTTCACAAAGCAAGGCGGATGGCTAAACTACTCTATACCCTCAAGAGTGTTTTTTTGTCAGGCCAGATCAAAGAGCAGTTTCCCAAAGCTGAGGTTGTGACTAAAAGTCATATCAGCAAGTTAGAACAGTTTGTTGTGTTCACAGTCGCTGTTTATGTCCCATGGTGGATTGTTTGCCCCGTTCCAGCAAGTGCGCT